TGAAGTAAAAACAAAACATTAATAATGAGTAAACCAGCTCAGACCTCTGAGCTCGCACACACCAACCGGCACGATTTAAAAACATAAAAACCCAAACTGACAGCCCTATAGGCAAAGTTGATAAATATACTCATCCTCTGTTAGGAAGCTTTAGCACATCTCTCTCAGTAATCGGTGTATCGGGAAGAAAACAAAATCAGGAAAGATACGGATGCTGCCATCAGCACAAGTGCAAAAAGTGAGGTACCCGCACATCAGGCGGCGGTGCCGCCCACAGTGGAAGGGCGGCGCATTCGGAAAATTAAAAAAATGGAAGCAAATGAAGCCAAGTCTTAACTTTCAGATAATCACAAAGGGCCGTATTCTCTATTGAAAATACAATTAATTTAGGAATCTATAGTAAAAATGCATTTTAAAAACCTTATAAATTTAACATAGAAAACCAAACAATATGCTCCTATATATGATCTATGATTTAAAAGAAGAAAACTGGATATTATTAAAATCCTCAAGTGACAAAATTAAAATACTACATTATTAAAACTGGCAGGACGCATCTAACACAGGATAGAAAAAGCAAATTCGTGTCACCGAGAATGCAGTAAGCAACACTCTGGGCAGTCAGTCAGGAGCACCCATCCCCTCGAGAACATTCCGGCCAGAATCTTTCAGCAAAGCTTAATTACGAAGACAGACTCGGGCAAGCTGAAATTGAGAGACGTTCTGCAGGACCAACAGGCTGGACTGGTGAAAGAAAACAGCAGTGTTGTGAGAGCCAAGAAAAGAGTTACAATAACTGAACGCAGTCAATGGTCAATTACTGAATCAAAACATAATAGGAGAAAAAGAAAATAATGAAGTGGTAACATTTTGGGATCATGGGAAACACTGGAAAATCCACTATGTATCTGGTGATAGTTCCATACTAATGTTACATTTCCTGCACGTGACACTGTTGTAGACAATTGGTTGGAAATCTCCTAGTTCATGAAGTAAAGTCTCATCATGTCTGTAACTTACTTTTGAAAGCAAAATGAAAAGAATAAAACATGTTTCTCAAAGGGGGAAAAATGCCTCGTAGGTAAAGAACAAATAATACATGAAAATCATATACTTCAAATAGTAAGAAAATCTGCATCAATCTTCTTAGTCAATCTTGGTATGTAAACAGCAAATCTTTAACTTCCAGGGGCCAAAGGTGAAACAATTTCAGCAACAAACTGAACAACAATAGCACTGGATTATAACACGCTGAATATAATGAATATCCCTGAGTCTATACTGATATAAATGATGGAAGAAATAAAGGAAGGAAAGGAGGAAGGATGGACAGTGTGGGGGAGGGAGGGAAGGAGAAGGCACAGTTTTCTTTACTGAAGAATTCCAAATGGTAGATTGTATATATCCCCCCCTCCAGAAGGTGGAACTTAGCCACTACCTCCTTGAACGCGGGCTGGACTTGGTTACCTGTCTCCAAACAGCTCATGAGTGGGACTGCAACTCCTCCCCAGACGAGAAGCCCGCCCTGCCCAAGGGATCACAGTCAACATCATCAGGGTAGGCGGGGTTCACAGCAGGCACCCTCCACTTCACTATGAACAGAAGGGTGTTGCACTGATCTGGAATCCCTCCTCCAAACCCATCATCCCCGGGGAATCATGAGAAATCCTCTGAAGACCCTAAACTGAGGAATATTCTGTGAAATACCTGACTAATACTCTTCAAGAGTGTCAAGCTCATGAAATACAAGGGAAGAGAAATTGCCACGGACTGGAAGAGACTGAAAGGCGAGAGGCTAAATGCAATGCTCACGCTGGAGAGGCTCCTGAAACAGAAAAAGGACAGGGAAGGGAAAGATGCTGACACCTGCAGAAAGTGTGTAGGTTAGTTAACAGTACTGTGTGAACACTAACCCCGTGGTTGTGCAAAGGTGTCCTGGTTCCAGAAGATGTGACCACGGAGGGACATGGCATCATGGAACCTCTTTGTGCCACCTTCGCCACATTCTGTAAATCTAAAGTTACTCCAAATTTAAAGTGTTTGATTTTTAAAAGAAGCAAACTCTAAAACCAGGAAGAAGTTGGAGATACGTCCCAATGCAGTTGACAACTTAGTAAGAGATAGAAAAGAAAGAGTGAAAGAACTGAAAGCAAGAGAGAATCTTTTTCACAACCACATGATTTTTTTTTGCTAAATCCAAAATAACTGCCAGAACAATGATTAAAATAAAAGTTTAGCAAGTTCGCTAGATAGAAGAGCGATACTTAAGAATTGACTGCATTTCTATACATCAGCAATATATAATTAGAAATGTCACTTTCAAAAAGGGACTTTAGCAACAGTCTATTAAAAACCAAAGAAATAAATGCGAATAATGATGCACCACATGTTTATAAAAGATTTATAAATCCTTAGAAAGAATATTTTAAAACCATATGGACAATAAAGACCAGAATAAAAGGAGAAACAAAGTTCTCAAGGACAGGAGGTGTCATTACTATAACGATGTCAATTCTTTTCCAAATAATCTATAAAATAACCAGAGGGTCCATTAAAAACTGAGCAGAAGGCATGAGGAGGCATGTCACAGAGGAGGAAATCTGAGCAGCTGGAAACAAAGTGAAAAAATCCTCAGCCTTATTAGTCATAAGAAAAAATAGATAGAGCTTAACACTGAGGCACAATTTTACACTTAACCACACTACCCATAATTAGAGGAATGCCAGATCAAAAGGTTGGGGAGGACACAGGAAAACAAATTTTTGTATACTGTTGGTAGAAGTGTAAATTGGTCACTGCTAAAAATAATTTGACTCCACCTCGTAAAGTTGAAAAGTATTAATGTCTTAAGATAGCAGTACCATTCTTAGCTACAGACTCCGAGAACGTTTCCTTGCACTTTTGGAGAAAGAACTGGAAACAAGCCAAAGATTCATCAAAGTAGAAGACTCCAGAAAGACTGCCTGTTCATTCAACAAAACACTGTCCATCAGGGAAAACAGAAGATGGAAGCCATCCACATCGACGTGAACTGAAAAACATAGTACTGCTTAGTCCGCTTGCTTTGAGATGTGTACCAAGTCACAAAAGTGAACACACAGCATGGTCCCATCGGATCACGCAAAGCAAGCAAAAAGCAATTTACTTTTCATGGGATAGTACAGAGGGAAATCCGTACATGTGGTAAAATTATAGAGAAAATCAGGAGTCAGAGTCAAAAAAGGGAAGTCAGGACAATGATTGTGTTGCAGGACTGAGAAGCAGGTGCTCTCGGGCTGGCACAAGGAAAGGGACCTCAGAACTATTGGAAGAGCCACTTTTATGGGGTTGAGTCTCAGGCTGAGTGAAGCTGAGTCCCACGCGAGGTGAGGCATTCTGTACGACAGTTTATTTTTTTTTATCATCTGACGATTAATAAATGCATCACAGTCACCCACACACGCACCTCCAGTGCTGCCTCTCCTGCCACGTAAAGCACCAGGTGCGCAGGGGCCACGTGGCCCTCCTGGCCCGGACCTGTGGGGACGGGGCCAGAGAGCACTGGGCCTCTGGCGAGGGCTGTCCTCAGCCCCTCGTCTCTGACCCGGGAGCCTCAGGTCTGCGGTCGGCGTCCATGCAGCCGTGCTAGGCTCACCTGCTCCTCTGCGGGGAGGGCAAAATCTCAGACCCTTGGCAATTTTGACAGGATTATGTGACCCTCCGTATGACGAGAAGGCAAGAGCTGCAGTTTAACGTGGTGATAAACTATCTACAGCACTGTGAGGAAAACGGATTTTAAAATCAGTTTAGTTAGAAACCATGAATGAGACCTCACGCTGCTCACTTGGCTTCTCTGGCCCCTGTGTCCTCACCTATAAAATGAAGGGCTGGAAAACACCATCTCTAACGACAGCTAGGACAACGTCTAGTTTTCAAAGGCTAAGGTTACACATGTAAGGGAAAAAAAACCCTGAGATGCAGAGCCACAGAAAGAAGAAACTGAAACAGAATGTAACTCGCTATATAAATGGTCAAGATACAAATTATGGTGACAGCAAGTATAAAGTTTATTTCATCCGGACTAAAATATTTATCTGCAATATACCGTAAGGCAAAAATTCTCTTTGAACTTGTATACCAAAGAGAAAATAAAGAACCCTGCAAAGAAGCTCAGGGAAGATATTTGCATGATACACAAATGACACTGAAGTCAAAGTCTCCCATGAGACCACCCAACCTTGACAAGCGTATGCACACAGGGTTTATGGAGCAGTATTTGTATGCCATGCGGCAGGTGGTCCTTTGCCCGGGTGAAATGCTCTAGCTGACTTTGGCTCGTGAGCACTTCTAGAATTACGGTGAATTTCCACCTGGCCAACTGGAATGTCAGCTGACATTCCTAAATCTACTTTCAGAACGTGTGTTTCTTCTTCGTCCTGTGTGTGTATGTATCTATATGTGTACCTGTGGGTACTCTAAGTATCCATGCATACTGCTTTTTCTTTCAATAATTTAGTATCTGTTTTATTGAATTGGCTGAGGAAGCTCAGACGTAAAATTGTGGGCACTAACGGTAACTCTGGCACACTGCATCCCTTTACGTGGCTTTTTAATTCTCTATTCCTTATTTTTTTAAATTAATTAATTTACTTATTTTGACTTTTTCTTTGGGGGGAGGTAATTAGGTTTATTTATTTACATGTATATTTTAATGGAGGTACTGGGGATTGAACCGCGTGCATGCTATGCTAAGCAGACACTCTACCACTGGGCTATACCCTCCCCCCTCTATTCCTTATTTTAAATTGTTTTACTCAATATGTATTTTTGACCACAGATCACCTCAAATTATTTTCAGAAGTAGACAGAAACATACCATAAACAAGGCTGTAAATTTCTTGGCTCATCAGAAAAATATAACAACAAAAGATGGCACTGAAAATCACATCATCAAAGTGAAGCAACTGGAAAGACTGTAAGAGTTGTTACACTCTGCGGGCATTTCGAGTGTGATAACTTACTTGCATATGTCATCTTCTGGGTCTTCGAGCCCAAATCTTTCATCAAATGTGAGCTGTATCCACACATTTTCCTCTACTGCTACTAATCTCCACACCAAGACCATATTTCTTGGGTAAGTATGAGGGAACCTCGGACTGTGAATACTTCCATTAGTAGACACAGTAATAATTCGCTCATGCTGGGGATCTTGTACTCCTAAAAGTAAAAACACAGGCATGAACACACACTTAGACATTTTAAAAATTATGGGTTTCAAACGAACTTCTGAAAAAAGTTATCCAATACAAGCCCCAAGTTTCATATGAACCATAATTACCAGATGATCCCAACCTTTAAATGACCTTGAAAAAAGAAATGGGATCAAAATAATGGTCTCAATTCCTTGTTGTAAGGGAACTATCAGCACTCTGTGAAGATAGTAAATTATAAGAAATGCTGCAGGACTTCTCAGTGACTTTAAAAAGCTCAAATGAATTTTAAATTTCTAAGAGGAGACTACAGTATAAAACAGCTTCCAAGTTTATTAGACACGGCAACCTTCTGCTCTGCAAAATGCTGAACTACGTTGTTAACAACATCATGTTAATGATCTCTCTCTTTTGATTAGATTGTTGGGGAGAGAAGAGGGGAAGGGCGAATTGGTATTGTTGAGAGAGAAGCGTTCATATATCCAGCCACTTGAGAGTTAATACTGAGACAAAACATGGAAAATGAGCAGCTTGTTATCCGCACAAAGAAAATCTAAGAAGAGAATTACGCTCTTTCAGGCCATGAAAATCCAATCCATTTAAGTATGCTAAATTCCATTTAAAAAAAGTTTTAAACAATCTTTTATTCAATCTCTAAAACAATTTAAAAGTCCTAAACCAGACGTTGAAGGCATGTGCACGGTATAATTCCCAATGGGGCCTTTTTTTGGTGCAACTTTCATATACTTGTAATATTGAGACAACAATTTTAAATTCTACGAGTACCTCTTTGGTTGTCATGATTTAGAGATACACTTTATGATAGTGGACGTTGCATTTGCAGTAATTACAGAGAGATAAAGAGTATTGTTTTATATCATATTATAAACATCACTTTTTCCTTTATTTGTCCTTCTCCCAACATCCAGTCTCAATAAACACATAGTTACTTGCAGAAGTATGACAGGTTTCTCATTTTATTTTCTCCTTTCAGGCATGTCCCATCAAACTGTGTAATAAAGACTTGTCTAAGGCCTCTTCAGTCATATGACATTTTACACTAAAGTACATTTTTCTTCTCTCTTCTTTTTCTATTATATTTTTCTGCCTTTTCCTCTTCAATGCTTTCACTCCCACACCCTAATCCCCCCTCATTTTTTATTAAAGTGTAGCTGATTTACAATGTTGTGTTAGTTTCAGGTGTACAGCTAAGGGATTCAATTATTATATATTTATATATATTCTTTTTTAGATTCTTTTCCATTATAGGTTATTACAAGACACTGAATATAGCTCCTGTGCCATACAGTAAGTCCTTGTTGTTTATCTCTTTTATACATAGTACTGTGCATCTGTCCATCATACCTGCCTGTTAACCAAAGAATTCCCTAGTGCCCAATTTCCCTACTCATTATTTTAAACTCTGATTTCACACTGATAAACTCACTTCCCACTCTGGAAGGCAGACTTTAAGTGACCCCGATGTCCCTCACGTGTGTAGGACCCCTGCCCAGAGAGGGCAGGAGCTGTGAGGAGGATGGGCTGTGACTCCCCTGATCAGGTGTGTTAACTCTGACTTAATCAAAAGCTAGACTGCAGGGTGGGCCTCGCCTAACAGGTGAGCCCATAATAGAAGTTGGGTTCCTCCTAAACTCACAAATTCAAAGTGGGAGAGAGACTCAACAGGAGGGAAAGTCTGTGTTTTTCTGGCCTTGAGAAGACAAGCAGCCAGGTGCCGAAGGTGTGGGAGCTGAGTGCTAGCAGGAGGGCGGGGACTCCATCCCGAGGCCACAAGAGACATCCGTGACTTGGAAGCAGACTCTTAGGCAGCCTCCAGAAAGGACTCAAGGCTAGATGGCACCATGGTTTCAGTCTTGTAGACACTGAGCAGAAGCCCAGTGGCCCAGGCCAGTGCCTGGACTCCTGAGCCCAAGAGCTGAGAGCAAGCAAGGCGTGTTTGATGCTGGTTAGTGGTCCTTTCTTAGATAACAGGAGAGGACGGGCACATCTTACACTACGCACAAAGCTATTTGGACTGCTTGCCCCCAGTCTTCAACAGCAGTTACGGTGATGGTAATGGCGATGACATTTCACTTAGTATCCATGTGACTCAAAATACCTATTTCATAGGGATAGAATCCAATTTAAGAACACTGCTCTAAGAAACGCTGAATTGAAAACACAATGTCAAGGGTCATTCATTAGTTAGGATATGATTACTACATATAAAATAGAAAAACAACAAGGACCTCCTGTACGGCACAGGGAATTATGGACGTTCAATTTCTTGTAATGAGCTGTAATGGAAAAGAAACTGAAAATGTACACATGTATGTCTATGTATAACTGAATCACTTTGCTGTACACCTGAAACTAACACTGTAAATCAACTACACTTCAATTTTAAAAAAGCATAAAAAATAAAATAAAATAAAATAAAATAAAATAAGAATATTTGTCTTATTGTTAAAAGGCCCAACATGATTTTAACAAGTTGTAGTTATAATTCTTAAAGCAAATTTTTTGTTCTCTTAAACAGCTGTTTCAACAATGAGTCTGGTAGGTGTTATTTTATATTGTTTAACTGTTAATTAGGAAGACAAGATAAAGACAAACGTAATTTTCTTTAAATATATTCAGTGCATATTATGGGGAGTATCATCATAGTGGTAAATATGCTTTAAGCACCATGGAATTTTTAAATTAAGCAGTTTAATTTCAGCTGCTCTCTTCCCAGTGCCTAAACTTGTCCCCAACAATAAGTAACCTGAGCAGAAGTAGGCTCCCTCTTATTGGATACTATTGTTCAATACAGCCATAGGCTATACTGCCAAATATGAGATGATCAATATTTCTCCTATGCACATCATTTATCACCATGACTTATCTCCTAAGAACACAGTTAAATGAATTCTCCTCTATACTGACAAGTTTTTTTAAGAAAACAATGATAATTTACTCCTAAAACTAAATTAATATATTGTCAGTTTTCAAAGAATTCTTTTAAAAATGAGACATTTCCCCACTCTGTAAGTAGTAATACGATAGTCTACATATTTCAGAGGAGTTTTAAAGCACTAGTTTATATCAAGAGTCCTTCTCATTTTGGCAACTAGCATTTTTAAATGAATTATTTTTTTTTCAGTCAGGTCTATTAAAATTTACTATTTGCCCCATTTGGTCTCAAAAAAAAAAAAAAA